GCCATCGCTATTAGGTTGGAGGCCATCGCTCTTAGGTTCGAGGCCATCGCTATTAGGTTGGAGGCTACACGTTTTCCGAGTTCAACCTGCCTCAAAGGCCTATTCTGCCGGCAGAGCCGAGCGACAGCCAGCCTGCCCAAAGCTTAGCAAGTTTTGTGCGCCATGGCTAGTTCTAGATGGCCAAATATCCAACAGCTTTTGCTACATGATATTTGCAATGCTGGCTCTGTCAAAGGCTGCTCCTAGCAGTGGCAGTGCGAGAGCCACTTGGCTTCCAGAAGAGGTTAGAAGCCAAAAACCTGTTTGAACAACTTGACCACCGGTGCCACCTTAAAGCTTTCTTCATTACAAGAATGCCACTTCAAAGACGGGCCACAGGTTCTTCGACTCGTATACACACCAAAGCTCTTTCTTCACTTTTCCATGCCTGCAATGGCCACCAATCTCTGGAGGTCCATGTCTCGGAGCTCATGGCGATGGAGAAATTCAGCACACTGCCGAAACCCATTGGGCCAACCACCAGTGCACTCTTTTAGGGTCGCAGCCGGGCGCGGTCGCCGGACCCTCGCCGCCCCGGAGGAGGCTAACCGGGGGATGGATTTGGGGTTCCAACGAAGAGGGATGTAGGCGAGGAAACATATGCAAGCAGCTAGGGAAATGAGAAGTCATCTAGTTGATTCTACTTTTGTGGAGATGGCTTAAACACCCTCATGAACAGTTCCTTCCATGAGCAGTTCCTTCGAGAAGTCTCCCCAGCTTTGGGCTGCGACCTGCAAGAGAACATCTTCCGATGTTTTGTACAAGCATAGCCAGCATAGCGCAACAGATCATCAATCTCCAAAAATGGTCAGAGCAAACTGAGCAAACAACACAAAACCACTTCATACCAAGCAAATATCATATATGCATCAAAAAGACAGGATGCAGAACAACCATGTGATGGCACATGACGACTCATGGCAACTGGCAACGATATCTTTGCGAGTAGAGCCAGAACCTGCCCTAGCGAGGAAAACGTTTTGGTCGCTGCTTGCTTCGGTTTGCTTTGGTTTGCTTTGGTTTTGGTCGAGAGCAGCATATCAGCTGGAGTGATACAGAAGGTTGAAGCGACCTCCAGTCACTAAGTTCATTTTTCCCCAAACCGGTTATTGCTGCGGTTCTCTTAGAAAAAATGGCCCACAAAAGCCGTGGCCGCACCGTGACCCGCCGTGTCCTCTTCAGCCCGCTTGTCGTCCGGGCCGAGACGTCTCGGCCTTGTCCAGGACCCTTGTTCCTAGTAGTAAGGCCAGGAGCCCCTTCGTAGCGTCCTTGCTCCTAGTAGCGTCCTTGTTCCTAGATATCCTCAAAAAGGTGCAGTCAGTGGATGGCAGATTAGTCTTGGCTCAATCAGCTGCAGCATGGGACCGAAAACCTATGGTGCCTCGACAGCAGGGGGCGCGCCGCCGCTTCCAAATGACTTGAAGGATCCGTCTTAGACTGTTTCACAAAAGTTTCTTCTCCATGTTCATGAGCCAGCACGGTTCAATGCCCGGCCATGCCCTCCATCCGCCATATCCCTTCACCCGGCCGCCGGCGCTCCTCCGAACGCCCCGGTTCACGGCGGAACCGAGGTCGCGGAACTGCGCTTTGCCACTGATGAAGGTGCAGTCTTGGTCTCATCCGGCCAGGCACCGACCTGGACGCTTTGGGACCGACCTGGACGGTCGGTCTTGACGGACGGAGCATGTCTTGACGGAGCATGTCTGACGGAACATCTCAGGATAGGCCATGGTCATGGTACCGTGTTTTGGCTAGCAGAGTGCAGCAGAATCCTCTTGTCTTCTTGTTAGTCCAGTCAAAGCATCACTTGCACTGGCTTATATATACATATGACTCATATGACTTATGACTTTCTTTGTTCTGAAACATCATCGTTTGAAGATGGCCATGTTTGGATTGCTGAGAGCCAGGACTCAGAGAGAAGTCGGGTACACTGCATCGTGTCAGGACGGAGTAGCCGGCTGCGAGTCGGTCGCCGGAGCCCTGCGAGTCGTTTGGCGCTTTTGCGCGACCAACACATGCTATGCCTAGCAAATCCAACAAACCCTTCTTTTGGGCATCTCCTTGTGCCACATCCCAGTGTGAGACCCCATGACATGAAGCAGTACTTCGTCAAGAACTGTGTGCTTCTTTATGAGGAAGCAGGCCCTTACAGGTGTTGTTCATCGCCAAGTCCTTTCTAGAATCCCAAAAAAGGGCCCAAGGTGGATTCCCTCCGCTTGATTCCCTCGATGCCCATCCGGCTTCAAAGGACATGCCCATCCTCGATTTCGCCCTCACGCGCCGCCATCGCAGGCGCTCCCTATGACCTGCGACGACTGACGGCGTCGCCGAGGGCGGGCGGCGGCTTGGTGGCCTTGGAGACCTTGGAGAGTGTGCAGAGGGAAGTGGACTTTGCTCAACGCGCAGGCGACCGGTGAAATATTTGGGAACTGGGTCGAGCGGCGTGGGGAGGGAGAGATTGCGAGAGTAGCTACTGTGAAGATGGAGGTGTTGGGCTTGGCAGCCTGTTTGGTTTCACTCTTGCCTTGACGAAGGGTAGTGGCATTGACCATCCCACACCATTCCCAAGCGTGGGCGGTCATGTCCTTGGCTGTTCATCCACACATGGGATCCACAGGACCTTGTGAACCCAGAGGTCTTCAGTCTTCTTAGGATGGGATTTCAAGTGTTGCTCATCCGCGGCTGCTCGTATCGATTTTCGTTGAGATTGATTTCTTCAAGCATGTTGGAAGTGCATCCAGGTCGCCATCCCAACATCGTTCGGTGTCATGGCACCCTGGTGCAGAATGAGGGATCCTGCCTCAGTCTTTGTTGAAGCGTGAGAGTTTGTAGACCTGAGATTGTTTGGACATGATTCATGGGAGAGAGACAGAGAGAGCCTAATAGCGATGGCCTCCAACCTAATAAGAGAGAGATCCGTCACCAAGATCAGTTACAGTCACTAATTCTGGGAGATTCCCACTGACGTTTCCCACCTGCTTGGTATCCCAGGGGCTGTGCACTGCCGCTTGCTGCTCTGTGAGCCCTGTGTGATCGACCTCACGACACACACCTCTGGTCCATGGCTTGGTTCAGTTTTGAGGCATGTTTGCGCGGACCCAGAGTGAAACCAAGAAGATCAACCAACCATATATCCAAACCGTTTCTTACTGTATTGGATTGGAGGTTTACCGTCACATAAACCGAGAAGAGCTTGGAGAAACCTAAGAAGATCAGCCAATCAGGCACTCGAACTCGTCGTCTCCCTGGAGGCAAGGCTTCTCCACCAACCGAAAACCGACGTGACTGAGGCTCCTCCACACCCCGAGTGCCCGAGCTCACAGACCTGGGGCAGCAACTGGCCTTTGGCCTTGGACATCTCCACAACCTTGGGATCTTGTGCCCCACGAAGCGAAGCTTCTGGAGAGGTGGTAGAAAACGGACATGCCAGGGGTCTTAAGGTCTATGGGTGGCGCCATTGGGTGCAGTTGCACTCTTGGTTGAAACACTCATTGTGAGGCATCACATTGCTTGAGCAATTCAACACCCCCGTGGCCCATGACGTGTTGAGCGCGGTTTTGCCAATCTGCAGTTGCGATTGGGTTGCGGAATCCTTCCTTGGTCCACTGGCACGTCTAGGAACTGATTCCCCAGGTACGGAGGCTTCGAAGGCAAAGGCATCTTCCGAGGCCTGGACCAGCACTTTATATAAGACCTTTGGGTTTTTCCTCGCAGCACACGACAAACCAGATCACCAGATCACCAGACCACCCGACCATCAGACCATCAGATCTAACCA